CGCTACAAAATGACGGATTTCCCACCTCGCAAGATTTCATTGTTCAGGAGTTATGAAGTTCACAATGGAATTCAACCCCATGCATTATAACGTTCTTCTGACTCAAGCTATAGGGGTGCGGGTTTCGCCACTGACCTGCATTGATTGAGAACTATATATATGCAAGTTTTTAGAGCGACAGCTCTTGTAGTGGCTGAGATCCAAGGGGGGTACTTTTGTCAAGTAGTGTAAATCATCTAATACACGCTTTTATTTTTATATTTGATTACAAAAGAATACTTACTTTTATTATAAATAAAGTTTTAAAAATTAGTCCAAACCCATTCTTCAGCTCTGAAAACTAGGTTATATACATAAACCGATTTTCTCTACAGGATGAGATAGTTTTCGTCTAAATCTGAGATTATTGATAGATCAGTTATATTGGATTTCGGTCATGACTCTCGTACAATGGCTCCGAGGTATGGTTGTACACTGAACACAAACCTGAGATACAGAGAATAATAAAGAGTAAATTAGTTAAAGAAAATCTGTAATTGTTTTACACAGATTTCAAAAAGAAACAATTTCGCAGCATAATATGTTTAAAAAGAAAGTAATAACAATATTATTCTAATAGAGTTCATCATTGTTCTTAGTCACATAACTACAATCAGTTTACATGTTCATAAATAGTAGCATCGATAAGTAGTTACACGCACTGGTTTAGTAAAATCGTCAAATCGTTAGAGTATTTATTAGCCACTGCCAAATCTACTTTGCCATCTTCATTAAAGTCACCTGAGATGACACATGATGGACTACTGCCAACTTTATATATCATAGGAGTGTAAAAGCTGCTATTTCCATTATTCAATAGCACGCTCACAGTGTCGTCCAAGTAGTTGACTGCTACTATGTCCTGCTTTTTATCGTTATTGAAGTCACCAGATATCACAGAAACTGGACTGATACCAACGATATAAGTAACTGAGTTTCCAAAAGTTCCATCTGTATTTGAAAAGAACACACTGATTGTGTTTTCACCAGAGTTAGCCACTACCAGATCTTGCTTATAATCACCGTTGAAATCACCTAAAGCTATAGAATATGGACTACTACCAGTCTTATACTTCGCTTGCGTTATAAAGGTTCCATTTCGAGTACCCAATATTAAGCTTACTGTATCTTCCCCAAAGTTTACTACTGCTAGGTCCATTATGCTATCAATATTGAAATCTTCACATACGATGTATATAGGATTATTACCAACAGAATAGCTTTTTGCAGTCTGAAAAGTTGCATTCCCATTACCAAGTAACACACTAATAGTATTGTCACCGAAGTTAGTCACTATCACGTCTAAACTATGATCATGATTCAAATCAACTGATATGACACAAGATGGATTCTTGCCAGTTGGATACTTAATTTGTGTTTCAAACATTCCATTTCCTTTACCAAGTAGTAGACTGATAGTGTTGTCATCTTGATTAGCAACAACTACATCGACAATTCTATCACTATTAAAATAATTTAATGTAACAGAAGATGGTCTTGTGCCAGTCGCGAATTGAGTCTGGGTGTGCAAGGCTCCATCAGACTGACCAAGGAGCACTGTGACAGTATATTCGTATGCATTAGCCACTGCCAGATCTGTTTGTTTATCTTTATTAAAGTCACCTGAAATCAAAGAAGTTGGACCATTTCCAGTGGCATATTTAACTTGTGTTTGAAAGGATCCATTTCCATTTCCAAGTAACACACTAACAGTGGTCTCGCCTGTATTAGCTCCCACTAGATCCAATATGCTATCATTGTTGAAATCAGCTGATATCATAGCCATTGGTGTACTACCAATGACATACCTAGTTTGAGGCTGAAAGGTTCCATTTCCATTACCCAGTAGGACGCTGATAGTATTTTCTAGGTAGTTGGACACAGCCATATCCAAAATAGTATCATTGTTGAAATCACCAGCTGCAACATAGGTTGGACCACCACCAACAGGATAGCTTTTGGGAGCCTGAAATGTACCATCTGCGTTACCCAATAACAAGCTAGCAGTGTTATCTTTTGAGACCACTACCGCCAGATCTAATTTATTGTCATTATTGAAGTCACCCGCTATTAGGCTATATGGATTGGCACCACATTGGTAAAGCTGTTGATTGTCAAAAGTTCCATTTCCATGACCTAGCAACACGCTTACTGTGCTAGCACCAGTGTTGGCTACTGCGACATCCATTTTATTATCATTGTTGAAATCAGCTGAAATGACAGCTATTGGAATGCTGCCAGTTGCATACTTTATCTGAGTTCGAAAGGTTCCATCGCCATTACCAAGTAGTATACTGATGGAGTCTTCTGCCGAGTTAATTACTGCAACATCACTTTTGTTGTCGTTGTTGTAATCAGCTACTGCTATAGCATAAGGTCGGTTACCAACTCGATAGTTAATTTCAGTTTGAAAAGTTCCGTCACCATTACCAAGCAACAGAGTGATGGTATCTGCTGCCTGATTAGCCACTACAAGGTCCACTATTCCGTCGCCGTTAAAATCACCAGTTATAACACACCTAGGTAAAGGACCAGTTGGATATTTGACTTCAATTTGAAACGTACCGCTTCCCTCGTTAAGAAGTACACCAATGTTACCATCTTGTTCATTGGCCACAATAATATATATTTCGTTATCATTTCTCAGATGGCCCACTGCTACAGAAACGGGAGCGCTACCTGTTTGATAGCTTTTAGCAGGCCCATAAGGATCGCGACAAATGTCTAATAAAAAGAAATGACGAAAAAAATGAGCTGCAGTATGAAAAAATATTCATACGCTTCGTCGAACTTATCAAAACATCTAGTCTATATAAAATGTGCAAGGTTTCTACTTTAATATTAACAAATGTAAGTAAAATTTTGATTTCAGAAATAAGTGATAATGAACTAAGAGTACAATCATCTTCCACTTTGGATCAAATGAGTGACTACTTGGTAATTTATTGCCCTTGGCTCTGAATATCAAAGAAAACGAACTTGAACTTAATCAGTCGAAATGATGCTCCCTAAAGCTATATGATACTCATAAATAGCATCTTTCTGAAGTTCAAAGACGCATGATAAAGGTTCAAATTTTCATTGTGAAAAAAAAACTCAATTTCTTCATTCGAAAAGAACACCATCATTATTATTAACTCGAAATGAATTATGTTTCTAGCAATACAGATTTATTTATGACGAATCATCAATGACATCAATATTACTTTCCAATCAAATGCTTCAATGATAGTAGCTCTTAGAATACTTGCTTTCCAAGGATTCTTAAGAGAACTTTTATTGAAAAGAAGAACAAAATATAAGAGTAGATAATATCCAGTTCTTGGAAAACAGACATATGTGAAAATATGGTTCGAAATCGAGTAAAACCCTGTAAGAGTCGCCTATGAAGGTGTTCCAAAACTGATATTCACTATTCATTAACTGTTCAAGAAATTCTTTTGCTGCTTTTACTAGATTCACTATACCATTAGATGAACAGAACCAATTCGTAAATTATTAGCGTTCTCAAAAGCGTTTCAGTACGATACTAACGTTTATAAGCTCAAGGTTTGCATAAACGAATGATTTATCATTCACTCAACTTTGAGAACAGTTCAACGCAGCCTATCTGAAACTCCTTGGAAAACACGGCAAATTGGCATCATCAAAGCGATTCCTTAGCACTTGTTGGTTTTTGGATATTTTTCTCAATGTATATTTAAAAATATAGCTAATTTGATTGTACCACTTAATAGAGCTAATCGAGTTGTGCTTAGAACACCCTCTTCGATAAATCCTGTTGTCATATATGGCAGTAAATAATTGAACCCCTTGTACAAAACTACTGCTATCTTCGAATATTATCGTATTTACTTATAAGTCTTTCACCCGACTTCTACAGATATTTACTCGAACCTTAATCTAACGTCATTAACATCGACATAACTTACTTTTTCTGATGGCGTCATTCACAAAGAAATGTACAATAAAGCAGCAAACATATTCATCATAGAATAGATAGACTAAGAAATCCTTACTGTTGTAATGATAAAGTTTTCTTTCATGAAAGTTGAATAGTAAACCGTTTAAAGAACGATCTCATATGCATCTACTCTTGTACATCACATAAAGAATACTTTTTATCATTATTACTCTTTCAAAAGATCAACATATAATAAAAGTACTTTGATACACTCCATAATCTAAGTATATACTTTCTCGAAGTTATCATTCAACTTATAGTTTGAATATTATCTAAAATTTACCTTTTTTCTCAGCAGATCTTATTCCAAGAATAGCACCAATTATAGCTGCTGCAATAACTATAGTCACCATGAAAGTAATTGGAATTATGAATCGCTTCTTTCGATACCAGGCTTTTCTTAAAAATAGGATAAAACAAAAGATTTGTCAAAAAAAGAATTAGATAGACAGATACAACGATTCTCTCAACTTTGGTCGAACGAAAAATGTCGAAAGGTAAATATGTCGAAAGGTTAATATGTCGAAATGTAAAAACGTTGAAACTTAAAAATGTCGAAATGTCAAAATGTCGAATTGAAAAAATTTTAAAAGTAAAATTCGTCAAAGATATGCTTTCTAAATATTATTCACACAGATGTCATCGCAAGTTGATTTTAATTCCACTGTGTTCTATTAAATTTCTTATTGGTTCATTACGTCACTTCTCGTTCGGTATAGCGTAGTAGATTGACTATTCAATAAAGATAGTCCATTATATGCATTGTACACAATCATAGATAAATATATGAAAATGGTGTCGGTCAATACTGCCTCAAATTTCAATAATGAAAAATTAGATTTTATCACGTCGAACAAAGGTCAGCCGTTATTAGTGATGAATAATTACGTATACAAGTGCAACAAAAAAACAATAAAAACGAAATATTGGATTTGTACAATAAGTGGTTGTAAGGTCTTTGTTCATACGGACTTTAACAATAATTATTTATGTGGTGGTAAAAATGAACATGAACATGCTGCTAATCCAGAATTACTTGAAATTCATCAAACACGTCAACAAATAAAACGACGAGTAATGAATGAGTCAACACCAATAGGAGCAGTTTATGACGAGGAAATGTCGAAAACATCTATGAGTTCAACAGCTATTGCTATATTTCCAACGGTCCACGAAATTTGTAAGTGACTTCATCAGTACTTATAAAAATAAAAAATCTGTTTTACTTTAGATGAAGGTTTTGCGAAGACTCGACGGAAAGCAATGCCAGCTGTTCCACAGTCGTGTATCTTTGATATTCCAGAACAATATACATTGACAATTGACAAGAAAAGATTTTTATTACTTGATGAAGTTCGTGTTCGACGAGAGCGATTATTAGTTTTTTCTAGTGATATTCAACTTGATTTACTATTTAATTCTTCGATAGTTTATATGGATGGAACTTACAGTTCAACACTAAGTCATTTTTTTCAATTATTTACAGTTCACTCTGTGAATTTTGACATTTGTTAGTATAAACATTCTTCTTTTCTGTCTAAAGTTTTTTTTAAGGCGTGCCTAGTGTCTTTGGACTGCTCGTAGATAAAAAATCTGCTACATACAAACAAATTTTTACTGAATTGAAAAACATTGCATCAAAAAAAGGAATCAGTTTTTCACCATCACTAATTATGTCTGATTTTGAACCGGGCTTAATTTCGGCAGTGAAAGCAGAAGTTAGTATATTGTGTTTTAATCAAGAAAACTTATTTTTTTATCAATTTGCTTATTTTCAGTTTCCATCATCTAGACATAAATGCTGCTTTTTCATTTTTTTCAGGCAATATCTAGACAAATACAGGGTTTAGGGCTACAACAACATTATTTATCTGATGAAAATTTTCGTCTTTTATGTCGCAAGTTGATGGCATTAGGATTAATGCCACTAGACAAGGGGGTGAACAGTTTTCAAGATGTAAGAAGTGCTGCTCAATGTTTACCTCAATTACAGGTTATACAATTATTACAATACTTTGAAAATAACTGGATGTCAAATATTGAATTGTGGAATTTATTTGGACTCGATAGTCGAACCAATAACATCTGTGAAGGTTAGTAAATATAATGTACCAACTAAATGACATTTTCTCTTTTTATAATTTAAGGGTATCATAATAGAACAAATAGTCGGTTGCAAAGGAACCATCCAAATATATGGCGGCTTATTAACTTCATGAAAACGGAAGAAAAACGTGTTCAAAATATACGTCTTCAATGATCCTCTGGTGCATCAAATAAAAAAAAAGCGCACTGCAGCATTACAAAATCGGCTAGATACTTTGTATCATCGTTATGGTAATTATTCATTAAGTGCATCTGATCTTCTTACTGGTCTGTCTTTCATCGCGGCGAAGAAGAAATGATGCGCCAAAAATTTTAATTAACTTTTTTAATTGACCCATCGAGAATTTTTGCTTGTCTTTGATTCATTTCTTATTTAATAATAAAATTCATCCACAATAAATTCTTGATTATTTTATATAGTCGGAAAAAAATCTAAATCTGTTTTGGTATTTTTTGCTCTCCAATAATTTTACTTTCGACATTTTTATTGTTCGATATTTTTATAGTTCGACATTTTTATAATTCGACATTTTACCTTTCGACATTTGTATAACTTTTTTTTTTCGACATTATTCTTTTCGACATTATTCCTTTCGACATTTTTACTTTCGACCAAAGTTGAGATTACCAGATACAACATTTTACTTACTTAACTTTTGGATAGAGATTTGCACCTAAAAGATAAAAGAAAAATTTCTTTGGATAAAAACTGAATAACTTGAAAATACCTTCGAAAGGGAGTTCTAGAAGTGTTTCTTCTGGTATGATTTGTTTTAAATGAACTATGTAAAGATCAGGTGCTGGATTCAATTGAGATTGAACTACCATATGAGTACCAGGTAGAAGAAGAATTTCAGCTTCAGTAATGAAATGTGAATGAGGACATATTATTCTACCATTAATGACTTCGACTGAGAAGAGAGTTCGATCTCCTGTGTAACCCAAATACATATTATTTTCAAGCACAGTCAATGATGTTGTACAGGATGAAAATGACCACCATGTGACTAAAGTACCAGGTGGAAATTCTCCACTCAAGTTTTTAGTTACTCCTCGCCATACAGTCAATGGTGGCACACATGGTATTTTGGCGAGAGCAGTCAAAAATAATTTGAGATATTTAAAATAAGGTCGAAGTGCTTCACGATCTGCCATTTTCAAAGTATGATTGATCATCGAATAGAGACTTCGATGTGGTCGTTCCCACTCAATTGTATAAAGTCGAATGGCAGCACTTTCATCAATTGTTAGTCCATCAGGTGGAACTTCTGGAGTTTCATTTAGTGCCATTTCAACATAGGTCGATAAATCATGGATTATGTTAGATAGTGGAGCACATGCCTTAACCAATGGTAACAGAGGTTCTTCACTATAACCAATAATAGGACTCTGTTCCATTTTGAATTCATTGACATCATTGTTAATCATTGTATTTTCTTCTTTTGTAACATTTTCACTGGTTTGATAGTTTTCTGTATTAGAAATATTTATTTGATAATATCCATTATCTTCCATCATTTCAACAATTCTTTCTTCATTTTTCTCTTCTCTATTCATGTTCAAATCTTCATCATTATCTTTGATTGTTATTTGCTGATTCTGATTATCATCATCTTTCTTAATTAGTCGTTTCCTTTTTTTCTTTCGCTTTGCTTTCTTTTGGATTTGTGACGATTGTTGATACTTAATAATAAAAGCAAAATTAATCCTTATATTGATGATGAAGAATAGTTAAGAAATCATCGAAAAAAAAATGAGTTAAAATACATACTTGTTCATCATTAACCATATTCTCAATAGTGTGATTATTTAACATTGAAATGGTTTCACTACTTTGATGTTCTTTGCTTTCAAAATATTCGATATTTATCAACTCTTTTTGATCAACACACGATTGTTTGTTTAATAACTGAGAAATCGATGTAGTATTATGATAATCTTCAAATTCCAATAGTGTCTATTTTCGTAATGCTTTACAAAAAACAAACATGTATATGTAAATATATTCACCTGTAAACCTTTTAATGTGATATGCTTCAGTGCACTGACAAATATAATCCAGCTTTTTACAATGTAAACATATTAAAGTGCATCATTTTTTTACTCTCTCTATTTTGATTCTTTCGTTTCTTCAAATAAGTAATTATAGGCCATAATAACAAAAACGGCCGAGTTACTAAAGAAAATAACAATAAAAAAAAAATGAAAATTTCAGTCAATTATATGATTATATGGTTAAAAGATGATCCTAATGAGTTTGATCAATAGCCTGTCAAAAAACAGTTTAGAATTTGATCAGTTGAAATAAAAAATATGATTTGTTTATATCTATTGACACAATTAATATAAATCACCTTGAAATGATGGTAAAGACAATTGAAAATATCCTTCAATCGATCAGATGCTTGCAGCATGAAAACGGACTCTTTTTTTTCTTGTAAATCTATAAATCGACACAAGCATTATTAATTTTTACATTCTTATCACTTCGAATAACCATCATATGAAATTTTCTTTGTTCATAATATATTTTCTACTCTTCAAATAAAAATTATATATCTGAAGAGAGAAAAGAGAAGGAACTAAAAGTAATATTCGAAAATACGAGGAATGATTATTTTAGGCACTCAAAGAAGAAGTTTTTGAATTCTTGTAACAGCAAGAATAAAAAACTACTCTTCTTAGTTTATTACTTCATATTCCCATATTTTTTTTTTCTTTTTTCTCACTTAATTATCATTTTCTTTTCGTTTCCTTTCTGTTCTGTAACATGTGATAATGTGCAAACTGTGACAGTAAACAATAGAGAAAATGATCAAAGAACAAACTATGACGACTACTGATATTAGATGAAGAAGAAAATGGGTGATTTTTTTGTCAGTTTTATTGTATAAAATAGAAGTGAAAGATTAATATATGAGAAATTTCATCAAATCACACTATTCTAGTAGAGTGTCAAAAACATTTTATTTTTTGTACTAGCTCAGTTTGCTAGTATGAAGGAGCTGATCCTTAACAAATTTAGCATTTTTTCCTCAAAGTATTGATCTATCTAAAGTCATAACTTTTCAATTACTATTGTTTTTGTACTGTTTCATTATAGTAGTTTGACAAAAAGATCAGTGGTTCATTCGAATAATGAATAGAATGAAATCTGCTCAACAAGTTTTTGTTTTCTTTGTATGTAATTACTCACTTTATAAAACAAAAGAGTCGAGTATAGGAAGTACCACTGATTATTTTTCACTTGACTTTAGAAGTTTTGTTTTAGTCTTTTTTTTCTTTTATATAGTAACATTCCAAGAGTTCAAAATAAAGTGTATATGGTTTTATAGAGTGCAAATAGATATATGTGTTGAGAACAATTTTGCGGAGTATAGACTATTCTCTTTTTGTCGTTTTCTAATAATGCAGATATTGATGAGCCTGTAAAAAGTCTGAGATATTTTTTAGATACTGTAGATAGTCATGGTAAGCCCTACTTTTACCGAAAAAAAAAATGTCGAAAAGAATAAGTGGGAAAATGCCGAACGAGAAAAATGTCGAAAGTAGAAGATCGAACAGTAAAAATATCGAACATAAAAATACCGAAAAACTAGATGTCGATATATAAAAATATCGAATGATAAGTACGCCGAAACGTGAAAAGATCGAAATATAAAAATATCTACTTATCAAAAAGTCGAAATAACACAAAGTATGTTGATTAACGACTAAAGATTCAACAAGTATATTTTATTTAAAGAATTTATTTGTATAAGAAAAAATGATTTATAAGAAAAGGTGACAATCGGAAAAAATTTAATGAGCAAATCAATTTAGATGATATTTCATTTTTTTTTTCGTTTCGACAAGATACGACAGACCGGTAAGAAGATCTGATGTATTGATTGTTCTATCATTATAGCGATTATAGAGAGTGTTGATACGATTTTGTATGGATATTGTGCGCGCAATTTCTTTTCTTGATGCACCTGCCGACCATTGAATCATAACAGACTGGATCTGTTTTTCTTCTGCTTGCATGAATGGGATAAAAATCCAAATGTTTGGATGATACCGTTGAATTCTATGATTCATCCGACTGTGGTAACCTGCAATAATGAATGACACTAGCAATTAAAATAAAACAGTTTGTTTCAATTTTATTTTCACAGATATTATTTGTTCTGCTCTCCATTTTTGACACATTCCAAATGTCAATGTCATCTAACCATTGTTTTTCAAAGTAAGCCAGTAATTGTTCCATCGGTGAGTCGGGTAAACTTCGAACATGATGACGAATTTCATTGAAGCTATTTGAAATTGTTTTGTTTCGCATCATGGTCAGAGCCATGAGTTTCTTGTGCTGATTACGAACAATTTCGTTGTTTACATATTCTTGATGAAGCCTCATTAATTGTATTTGTTTGTAAATACACTTTGAATAGTGAAAAAAACATCCATAGTGCTTTGATGATGGAAACTGTAAGAAAATAATTAAGCAGAACATGTTTTTTCTTTAATAAAACATAAGATACTTACTTCTCCCGTTACTACCGGAATAACATCGGATTCAAAGTCAGTCATTACTACCTTTGGTGAAAAACATTTATTACGTTCAGAAGCTGACTGTTTGAGCTCAAAAAATATTTGTTGATAAGTAACGGATTTTTTCGTTTATTATTAGTGCAAAAACACATGGTATAGCTTAAAAGACAAATTAAAAATGATAACTAAAAAAAGTTCATTTTTATGTTACATGCACCATGCTTGAATCCAGGAATGATGTAAATTTGCATAAAATGAGGAGCTTTCGAAAATGTGCCATCCATGTAAATGGTTTGTCAATCAAATAATATATCAAGTTGTAGATTACATGCATCAAGTAAACGACGCTCACATCGAACACGTGATTCGTCAAGAGGTAAAAATCTTTTTCCATCACTTCTTAATTTGTACAGGTCAGGAATAGTGAATAAAGATGATTGAGGCATTGAGAGCGAAATTTTTCGACGAACTTTAGCAAATGTTTGATCTACAAATAACGGGTGTCCCAGGAATAATGGACCTCTCAGTATTTTACTAATATATCCATCAAATCTAATTCGTTCATGGTTCTTTTTTTTTAAAGATAGGTCTTTTTAAGCTCTACAAGATGACATATTTTTTATTTTTTTAAATAACGTCCATCATTTTTTAAAACACGCTGTAAACGAACAGTCCAAGATGAACAACTTTGTAATACAACATCTTGCCGAATTTTTTTGACTGCACGTTTTAATTCATCAATTAGTGTGGGTTTCGATGTTACTTTCTCCCAGTTGACACACTGCGCAAATTCATCCCAGATGCAATAGTCCAATGGATTTAAATTTGGACTATTTGGTGGCCAATGCTTTTTATCTATGAACGATGGAAACTTGCCTCGACACCATTTTTATGTTAGGTGATGGGCGTGAGATTTCGCACCGTCCTGTTGAAATGTCCAATGTTCTCCAAAAGTCTTATTTCCATATTCAAGTGTAATTGGAAGAACTTTCTGGATATATTCAACATGATCTACTGTTCCTTGGTCGAGAATGACTAATGGTGTTACTCCTTTGGAGCAAACACCTAGCCAGATCATGAACTTTTGAGGAAACTTCTGTTTCATTTGGATGCCACCTTTTTTATCTGCTTCATCTCTACTGGCAGCCCAAATACGTTGATTTTGAGAATTATATATACCGTCGAGATCAAACATTTTTTCATCTGAAAATAAAATGCGCATCGTGTCCTATTTTCGAAAGTTATTAATGACCCAATTAACTAATTTTTTTCGTTTGTCTTTTTGTTTTTCTGTAAGTCTTGGCTCGATTGTCACCTTGTAGGCATGAAGTCCTAGATCTTCCGTCAATAATCGATGAGCACTTGATCTGGATATGCCATAATCCTTAGCCAAACGTCGAACTGATACCATCTTATTTTGATCGAGTTTGTGCTTGACTTTTTGGATCGTTTTACTGGTTCGAGCTAAACGTGGATCACCCGGTGGTGTTGACAGCTGGATAGAACTGGTGTCACGGAGCATCTTGCACCATCTTTTTATAGTACTTAATCCCAACTAACCATTTAAATCACGAAAGATCTTGGTAGGACCATCACCATCTTCGTATTTACAAAAAACTACTTTTTGAAGATCTTTACTTTTCATCTTATACTGAAGACAAGATACGTTCGAATGAAATACGAAATATAGATTCTTGTAGAGGATGAAAAGACGAATCATTTAAAAAAAATTGACCCCGAATGAATTAGTTTTGACAAAGATATCAGTAAAATACTGAGAGGTCCATTATTCCTGGGACACCCGTTATAAAGAAGAAAAGCTTTAATAACAATTTCATATATGTATACTCACAAATTTCTTGATTTGTAGGAAATGTAGTCAAGGCAGAGGCATTGAGTGATGCTTTGGCTATTTCTATATCATATTGATGGATGTTAATTCATTTAAAACACGCTCCTTCATTCGTTGATGAAGACATATTGTTTTGATTAAATCTGGACTTCGATCATGATCATGAATATCTTTACCACCATATAGATGCATATTATTTTCATCTGCACCAACACGTTTTGTACACCCACTAACAGCACAAACCCAATATTTCTTTCGGACTGTCTTCTTGTTACACCTGTATACCTGTTCATTGATGACGAATATTTCTTGATCTTTGTTTGATTTGATGAAAGATAGGTTTTCATTTGAAATGGATAGATCAGTTGAGAAGGACATAATATATTTTTATTAAGATCGTACTAGTAAAACTGCTGTTAAATTTATTTACACGACACGTGTGTCTTTGCTTACTTTGTTTAACAAAGAATAATGTTTCTGTCCTAAATGGATGATTCAATCAGCCAATAGCAATCATTACGCGGTCAGTATGCATTATGAAATGACTGATAATGTAATCTTCGTTTCGATTATCGAACTTCTGCTTTTTGTGGTAGACTTCAGTAACTTCAAACATCAGAACAATCATCGCAATAAATAGTTCGACCATTTTACTTTCAATGTTTTTATTATTCGAGATTTTCACTTTTCGATATTTCTATTTCTACATTTTTAC